GAGGGGGAGGGGGAGGGGAGGGGGGAGGGGCGAGGCGCAGCGCACATACCTTGAACTGCCGGGCCAGGTGTTGCTTATGACTCTCCTCCACCTGTCTGAACTTAGACTCCAGCCCTTTCATTTGGCTCTCCATCTTCTCCACGTACTGCAAGTCCCTCTGAGTCCGCCTGTCCAGGACCTCTATGGATTGAGACATGTTTTGCACCTGTCAAAAAGGCAACAGATTCAAGGACGGAGCTGCGGCAGGTGCCTGAAGACCTCATTTGCCTCCTAACGAACGACAGTGACCTTTTCCATGTGGCCAGCCCACTGGGAGCCAGAAGCGGCTCGTGCACGACTTACTAGTTAATCACCAGCAGCAGGGATTGTTATGACCAAGAACCCCCCAGACAGAACAAATTGGTTCGGTCAACATTTCTTCTGCCGTCTTCCAGGACGTGTTCTTACAACCAGGGGTGCAGGGACCTCTGGTTCCCTGTTGGTCAGAGCTCCAGGCATATGGCTTTGGGTGATTTTTTTCTTCTTTTTTGGGGGTGGGTGGGCAGGGGATTGTGTCTAGTCTCTTTATTCTGCAGGATGAAATCAGTCAGACAGGCATAAACACCAACAAAGATGAACAGCGTAGCTGGGCTTCCCCCACCTCCAGGCACAGACCTCTCTCCCCCCTAAATCTCACTGGGTGTCTCGCTGAGAGGGCTGATTGCATAAGCGCAGTGCTCGGGAAGCAGGGGACTGGGCTCCCAGCCTCTGCATCTTGCACGTCATCCATCACATCCCACAGTATCATAGGTAGATGACTGTTCTGAAAACATGTACATTCAGAACAGAGATTCAGGAATCAATCACCCAGCAAATTAAGAATCTCTGTTCTACACCTTTACAGGCAGATCTGAATTGAGTCCAGCCTCAAGATGAAACTTTAATATTCAACAGGGTTCCAGAGAGCTTCAAAGAAAAACAGTTTTAGTGCAGCCACCTGCCAGTGCATTTTATTTTCAGGAAACTGGCTCGCGCTTCTGTGCCAATGCATTTGGGGTAGCAGGGAGGTGGAAAAGGCTCAGGGTGGCCAAAGTGCTGTTTGGGTCGTTTTCTCAGAATCGAATCCAATTACCAGTGGGAAGATACCTCCATAACCGCAAATCCTCATTTCTGTTTTCTTTTTTGCTGAATTTGCAAATACCCTCCCTTTTTTGGAACTAAATCATTTGGGTATGAGGCTTAGCTTTGCCTGGTCAGTAAAAGAAGAGATGATAGTGTGGTTTGCACTTCTTAAGGTGTGTCCTTCACCCCCTGCAAATAAAATAAATGAGAAAGAGAAACCAAAAGGAGGAAAAAGTGATACTGCTCAGCTCAGCGCTTAAAAATGCCTGGGATTCTATGGCTTGTTATCTGAAAGTAATGCACACATATTCAGTTTAAAAATTCAGGTTTGTAAAATACAGTATGTGGGTGACTCTGACTCGCTCTGATCCTTTCTGTTTTGATGTATTAGGGGAAACTGAAATATACTTGCTCTGTTACCTCAGGTCTTCCTGTCCCCCTCAACAGTTTGTTCTGTCACTTTGAATAACTGAGGACTTCTTTTGGGAAAAGCTGTATTTCCCTTTATCCTTCCAGGCCCAGCCCAAATGCCACCTCCTCCAGGGAGGCTTCCCTGATGAGCCAAGCCAGAAGTGGCCGCACACCACTTGGAAACACCATCACCTTGTTGGCACCATGCCTGCGTGGCAGTGACCCACACCCCTGTCTCAACCGCCTTGCTGGACAACGGGGGGAGGTGGACAGGCCTCGTTGCAAGCGCAAGGCCCAGCACCTAATGCACAGCCGTAGGGCGGGAGGAAGGAACAAAAATGACAGCTCCAGTCAAGACCCCTCCTCCTCCTCCCAGGGGGATTCTTGATGGACAGCACAAACCCACAAGGCTGCCTGCTAAAACCTGCTGAGCAGAAGCTGCGGGACCCTCGTGGGCTTCAGCCTGCTTCTTCTGCTGGGGCCACACACAGCCCTCTGGGCTGTTCAGCTGCCAGAGAAGGATGCTTTCAACAAATTTAAGAGTTTTTAAATTCAATTTTAAATTAAGAAAACATATTTTAAAGATGCTAAGTCACTCAGTCGCTTTAATACGCCCCTCTTATAGTCCTTCCCAGGCTGGATGAGCACCTCCCTCTCCGGCTGATCAGAAAGCAGATAATCAAGCCCCAGGCGGCCATCACACTCCTGCATCTTCTCTGAGCTCCCGGTCTAGAGGCCCCGCCTCTGAGCGCGTCCATTCTCTTACCTGTAGGATGTGTCCCTGAGAAGCCAACTGAGGAGTTCAAGGTCACACAGCTACCAAAGGCACAATCCCCCACCCCGCCCAAGGTGGCTGCAGGTGCCGAGGGGGGAGGGGCGGCAGCAACCTGCCCACGCAGCAGACACAGCTGGCCTGGAAGGGACCACTGATCGCTAATACTTACGGGACGTTTTCTACGTTCCAGGCACTGTGCTGAGCCCCCTGCGTTATGGATCTCATTTGATCCTTACCAAACTCTGGGAGGTGGGCGCTACTTCAAGTCTCATCTTACACAGAAGGAGACCAAAGGCTCAGAGAAGTTAAGTGCCTTGGCTATTGTCACACAGCAGACAGCCACCATGCAAAGCCCGGACCGACTCCAGAGCCCACACTTTGAAGCTCTGGGCCATGAGCTTGTTCAAAGAGAACAGAGCCTGAGGTCCCTGCCCGCCCTTTGCCGTGGGTCCTCGTACCTAACGGGGGGTGAGGGCCTGGCTTTCACGAGACACTGGTGCTAGGCTCCTCTCAAGACCGCAGGCCAGTTCAAAGCAGCACCTCTGGGCTTGGGACCGAAGGCTCCACCTTTGGAAGCTCCTCAGGTGGGTTTGAACAGGATGCCAGGCTGGAGACACAGGCCCAGCTGGGACCACAGGCCCACGGACAGAACAGATGCTCAGACGGTGCCCACCGAGAAGGAAAGAGGAGAAGGCGGCTGGGGAAGGAGTGAGGGACGCACAGCCCTGCCCTTCTCACGCAGCAGCCAGGCCCTCTATACAGCAAACGGCTTCTGCCCCGAGAAGAGGCAACACAGTGCCCACGGGGGTGTAAAAGCGCGCTTTAAACGTTTAAGCAGTAACGCTGTGGTGTACACAGGCAGGAAGGCGGCCTCCAAGGCCTGTGTTCCCAGGGGCTCACAGAGCTCTCTGGAACTGACCACGGCCTCCCAAGGGCTTGAGGGGCCGCCCCTCAGCCGCCCGAGGCCCCTTCGAGCTCCACCTCCCTCCTCTGCAATAAGGAATAATTAAAGGCCCAATTAGGCTTCGGTCTAGTCTGGGGTCAATGAACGTTTGTGGAACCTGTTACATACATTTTTCTTTAATTCTTTTAAAGTGATTTACTGGGGTGACCAAAGATGGCAGCACAAAAAAGCACAGGTCCTCAGAGGGGAGCCAGGCGGCAGCTGCCCCAAGCCCTCCTCCTGCCCGGGGCCCGTCCACACAGCAGGGCCGCGACGGCCTCAGGGACGCCCCTCCCTCCCCACTGACTTCAAGAAAGGGACCTGCTTGGCCAGGACCCGCGTGAGGGTCTGTGCATGAGCCGGGCTTGAACCGAACTACACAGACTCCGCTGGCTGCCGGGCGTCACCCCGGGGTGGCGGCTCTCCTTCTGGCACAGGCCCCCCAGCGCCCCTGGGCCGATGGAGAAGTCTCGGCTTTACTGAGGGGGCGCGTGCGTGCGCGCGCGCGCGCATGAGAATTCGTGTGTGGTGTATGTGTGTGAGATGTGTGTCTGCGTAAGTGAGCGTTTACGTGTAACGTGTGTGGTGTGTAAGGTGTGTGTGGTGTGTGAGGTGTGTGTGGCGACTGTGCATATGTGTGTGTGGTCTGTGCATCTGTGTATTCAGTTACATGTGGTGTATGTACATGTGGTGTGTAAGGTGTGTGTAAGTGTGAGGTGTGTGTGGCGACTGTGCATATGTATACGTGTGTGTGGTCTGTGTGTATCTGTGTGTTCAGTTGTATGTGCTGTGCGTGATGTGTGTGTCGCGTGTGCGTACGTGAGCACGTGTGTGTGACGTGGGAGGTATGACCCCTCTCCCGCAGGGCGTGAAGGGGCCTGATGTGAAACGCACTCTCTCCCTGGGGAGGGCGGTGAGTGGAGTGCTAGGGCCGCCGTTTCCTCCCCTCAGTAGCTCCCAGGACAACCAGCGCTCAGGTTACCCGAGACCCCAGGGTTCCCGGGCGGAATGTTCCAGGCAGCGGGTTGCCAAGATCCATGGGGAGCGCCAGCCTCCGTGGGGGGCAGAGGTTGTGGGCCAGGTGGGAGGCCGGCCCCGGGTTTGAGAGCCAAGCCGGCTCCCTGCTCACTGGCTGTTTGCCTTGGGAGAGTCAGCCCACCTGCCTGGACCCAGATTTCCACTTCTTAAAACGGGGTGAAAAATCTCGCCACCTTCACCTGGCTCTTGTGAAGATCAAGTGAAATAACGGATTCAAACCGCAAGTGCTGTGCCCAGGTGGGTTACAAAGGTGACGATTTAATCTGCTTTTGCACCAGGAAGGCAGCCACGGGCGTGAACGCCTGGCCAGGCTGTCGCTGGGTCCAACCGCTCAGCGGCAGGGCACAGATCCCACCCAGCGGCCCTGCTTCTGGGCTCCGAGGGGGCAGCTCTCCCAGGTTCTGCTGGGCGACAGCTCTGCGCCCTCTGGACCACAGGCTGTGGGCGTGACCTGGAGACGGCGGTGTGGGAGAGGAGCCCCAAATGCTCCCTTGCTAAAGCCCACGTGGCTCCCAGGGGAGCTTTTCGCCTCCTCCTGGGCAGCCCTGGGGGAGTCTCCGTCCGTCCGTCCCTCCCTCCCTCCCTCCCTCCATTTCATTCATTCACCAGTATTCCCGGTGGGCCATGCCAGGGAAGAGTGAGGTCTTGGAGCTGGGACGGACCTTGCTGCCAGCGTGGGCACACAAATGCGCACACGCGCGCCCTGCGTAGACTCACCTTCTCCAGTAGCTGCCTCAGCTGTTTCGCGCGGGCATCCCGTGAACACATGGTCTGCTGGGGGGCGACCACCGTGCAGATGCACCTGCCCTCACTGTCCTGGGCAGAGCTGTACACCTGCCAGCTCTCCTCAGGGTTGGTGGGCAGCACCTGGAGAGCAGGTGGGGTGAGGGAGAGAAGGTGAGACCGGAAAGCAGCACAGCGGGATGACCGCCCACGTCCACCCCCTGGGAAAGGGCAGAAAGAAGTGGTCCAAAGACATGTGCCGACCGTGGGGAGGTACAAACAGGGAGGAACACAGACGGTCTCCCATCAGGATCCCCAGGGCTGGAAGGGAGTCAAACGGGCATGACTCTTTATTTTTTTTTTAATTCAAGGGATTTTTAAATTTAGGGGATGCTTGGAGTTTTGACGTCTGACCCAACTGACAGGCTAGCTGGAAGGGAGGAGGGGCCGGAGGCGGCATGCTGGTTGACTCACAACAGCACGTAACTGAGAAATAGGATCCCCTCCCGTAAGGTGAGCTTGGGAGGCTGGCGCAGCCTCTCTCTGCTGCTCCCTGGTACTGGAGAAGCAGAACCAGTGGTACTAGCCGGGATCCGGCAGCCTCTTAGCCCAGAGCTGCGATGACCCCGAGCCCCAGCAGTGTTCCCGCTGGCGGTCTGGTGAAGGCTGCCCGCAAAGATGCTGGGCTTCAACTCTGCACAGGCTGCCACCCACTAGCCACTGGGCAGATGACACCAAGTTGCTGGTGACATGCTGGGCAGGGGTCACACCCAACCTCAATCCTGAGGTGTGCCCAAGGACGGTCACGAAATCAGAGCTGCACATGGCTGCTGACATGGTGACATGGCTGGTGTCACCTTGCAACCCAGCTCAGGTGGGCCCGCCCACGTACACGGGGCAGACAGACACCGCTGTCCGAAAACACCCCGGGGTACAGACCCTGCAGCCTGCCCGGTGGCCTCAGGTAGTCACCTCCCTGCTATTTTTAGCGTTGGTATGGGGAGAAGTTGGGTGGAGGGAATCCACAGTAGATACATTTCATTTTATTCATTTCCAACCCCAGGAGCTCAGGACCCAGAGGCAGGAACAAAGTCATCAGAAAGAAAATGCTGCATGCAGTTCTCGAAAGAGCAGGTGAGGTGAACGGATGACCATCTTAGAAGGGGTCACCAGGAGACCTCCTGCCGGAGCACTGCGCCCTTGACAGCCCAAAGGGAGCGCGAGAGGGAGCCGCGTGTCCTTCACCTCTCCTTTTGGCTTAGGGCGAGCGAGCCTGAGGCGCGCCCCTTCCTCCGCCGGCCCCGCCAGCGGCTGTTCCCCGGTGGTTCCGGCTCAGCCTCCGCTCCCGCCACCACCGAAGTCAGTCCAGTCCAGAGGCGGCCCTGGCCGCTCCCCCCCTCCCCCAAGGCATCGAGAAGCTTTTGGGTCGGCAGGGTGGGAGGAGGGCGCGGAAGGCGAGGGGCGAGCCCCGCAGCTGTGGCTCCCCGGGCCCCGCCCGGCCCCTCTATACCCTCCGCCGGCGGGGACCTTGTGGATCTCCGCATGGGGATGGGGAGAGAAAGACGCCTTGGGACTTTGAGGGCAAGAGCTCCGGAGCCCGCCCGCCGGGGCCCCACTCCGGCCGGTCCAGTCCGGCTTTTGCAAAGTGGGGCAGGCTCAGTTTCCAGCCCCGGCTGGACCCAGACAGACTGGGGTCCACCGCGTCTCCACTCCTTACTTGCTGAGTGACCTTGGACAAGTCCCCAAGACCCCTGCTTCAGTTCCCTAACCTTATCAACAAGGGACTTATTAGTTGAATGAGGACTCCAAGCCTCGGAGTCCCTGGGCAGGCTCCCCGGCCCCGCGAGGGGACCGGGCAGAGGCAGCAAGCGCCACACAGAGGGGACCGCGGTCGGAGGAGTGGCCGAGGCTGGGGTGTGGGGAGCAGGGTGGCCCCCGCGCGTGCCCTTGCCCCTGCGCCCGGCTCCCCCGCGCGGCGCCCTCCCGCCCGGGGCTGGGGACCGGGGGGGAGCGGGCGAGGAGGCTCCGCCAGGGCGGGCGGCGGGCGCACTTACGCCGGTGCTGCGGTCGAGCGTCCCGCCGCTGGCCGCCGAGAGCTTGGTGGTGTTGAGGCCCACCAGCGAGGGCAGCGTCTGGGACATCCAGTTGGTGATCATGGCCATGGTGCTGAGCACAACCCCGATCTTGAGCAGCGGCACCGACATCGCGCCTGGAATGCCTCCCGCGCCCGCGCCGCGCCGGCGCCGGCTCCGCGCCCCGGGCAGCCTTCAGGCGGCGGGCTCCGCGGCGGGCAGGGGCGCCCGGCCGTGTCCCCGCGCCCC